GCTGATTCCGCCGGGTACTTTGGTGGCTGGCTGGCTGATTCCGCCGGCTACTTTGATAGGTTGCTGGCTGGCTGATTCCACCGCATACTTTGATATAGCTGGCTGGCTGGCTGGCAGATTCCGCCGGCCACTTGGATAGGTGGCTGGCTGGCTGATTCTCCCGGATACTGTGATAGGTGGCTAGCTGATTCCGTCGGGATTTTGATAGGTGGCTGGCTGGCTGATTCCGCTGGATACTTTCATAGGTGGCTTCCGGCATCTCATTCGCGCGTACAGTTGAGTCACTTTTCGCGTGTACAGACGAGGCGCCGGCCACAGTTCCCGTCTATTTTGAGTGAGAATGGTCCTTTACACAAGTCCTAGCTCCACGGGCCGTGGAGTTTCAGTGTACCGCAGTTAGAGGTTCAGAGGACCTCACCGCACTACCCAAATGCGGTGTGACTAGTTCTGGCGCACGCCGCGCTAAAACCAGAAAGAGTGGCGGCGGTCCGGGAAAAGCGAATTTGAATCTGATCTGGTCAAAATGCGTTCTTTCAAAAATAGCTGAAAGTTCACATATTCTTTACTTTTGGCACACACAGTTGGCTAATGAAGGAAACGTGGACCAAACAAGTACTGGCGCCAAATGGTAAGAGGCGTCACAAGTAGTGTAGGCTAGTGATGGCTCGGGTTTCGTTCAACAATACAAATTGATCCACTATAGTGGTCACATAACTAGTCACATTGCCATGCCACTGATGGCTAAACCCTTCAGATCCTAGAAGCTCATTTTGTCTGATGTTTGCCACGTGTCAAAAGAGCTCTGATGCGCGCTGTCCATGCAAACTGCACTGCAGCTTTGCGACATGCTGGCGCATCGCAAACATGCCTCTCTGAGGCCGGGAAAGCAAAGTCATGTTGTTGTTGTTGTTGTTGGTGGTGGTTGTTTGTTGTTTGTTGTTCCATGGGAACGAAGCTCTTGTGGGAGCGCAGCAACATTGGACAGAGCGTTGTTAGCAATTTCCACCTGAGCCGATGTTTTTGCGCGCGTAAAGGTTGATTGATTGATTGATTGATTGGTTGGAACCTTGCCTCCTTGATCAACCCTTCGGGCCAAAAAGTGAAGCCATGTACGCGTCCTGGGAAGGCTTCCTGCCAGCAAGGCAAACAACATAAACAACCTGAGAAGCGGCAAAACGAAAGCCAGCGTTTTTGCTTTCGAGTGTGCTTTCTCAGGCCACCCCCGCGAACCCCCCTTCTTACTCAACTGGCGCAGGTATAGATACCCAGGGTAACTACAATTCAGTTACCAGGTACAGTACTTCAAGTTCCCTGTCCGTCAACCGCTCGATAACCTTTACACACGTACAGCAATCCACAGCTTTGAAGTCTCATTGAACTTATATAGGTGTGTAAGAGACATAACAACATAGCATTTATACGTGGCTGATTCCGCCAGCCGCCGGGTACTTTTGGTGGCTGGCTGGCTGATTCCGCCGGATAGTTTGCTGGCTGGCTGGGTGATTCCACCGGATACTTTGATAGGTGGTTGGCTGGCTGATTCCGCCGGATACTTTTTAGCTAGCTGTCTGGCTGATTCCGCCTTAATTATATCTATTTCTCCTGAGGGCTTAAGTATCACGAGGACGGCATGAACTCGCCGCTTTAGCATGAGTCAAGTTCTCACAAAATCTCATTTGAGCCACAATCTCTCAGTTTTAGAATCCTATGACTCAGCCAAAATAAAACGCACGACCCTGTTAATGAAATCCTGCTGCAATGTGTGGAATGAGTTGCGTTTTTGCGTTTTCTTCCTGAGGTTGACGTCGACGTTTGACCTGCTCCAGGCTCCGGCGGGTCACCTGCCAACCCCGCGGAAGCTGTGGTGGCTGATTCCGCCAGCCGCCGGATACTTTGATAGGTGGCTGGCTGGCTGATTCCGCCGGATACTTCTGCTGGCTGCCTACCGGCTAACTCCGCTGGATACTTTAGGTGGCTGATTCCGCCAGCCGCCGGGCACTTTTGCTGGCTGGCTGGCTGATTCCGCCGGATACTTTGCTGGCTGGCTGGCTGACTCCGCCGATAATTTGAGAAGTTGCTGGCTGGCTGGCTGATTCCGCCGGATACTTTGACAGGTGGCTGGCTGACTGATTCCGCCGGATACTTTAGGTGGCTGATTCCGCCAGCCGCCGGGTACTTTTGGTGGCTGATTCCGCCAGCCGCCGGGTACTTTTGGTGGCTGGCTGGCTGATTCCGCCGGATACTTTGCTGGCTGGCTGGCTGATTCCGCCGGATACTTTGATAGTTGGCTGGCTGGCTGATTCCGCCGGATACTTTTTAGCTAGCTGGCTGGCTGATTCCGCCGGGTACTTTGATATGTGGCTGGCTGGCTGATTCCGCCAAGTACCCGGAATGCAGGGTCAATAGCACTTTGTGAACCTCCATGTGCAGATTTCGTGGCAGGTGCAGCACTTTGTGAACCTCCATGCGCAGATTTCGTGGCAGGCACAGCACTTTGCGAACCTCCATGTGCAGATTTCGTGGCAGGTGCAGCACTTTGTGAACCTCCATGTGCAGATTTCGTTGCAGGTGCAGCACTTTGTGAACCTCCATGTGCAGATTTCGTGGCAGGTGCAGCACTTTGTGAACCTCCATATGCAGATTTCGTCGCAGGCACAGCACTTTGTGAGCCTCGAGGTGCAGATTTCGTGGCAGGCGGCAGATTTCGTGGCAGGCACAGGATCTGGGGAGCTGGAAGCTGAGAACTGGCGACTTTGTAGTACAACTTTAGTACGCGGAGTATCTGTGGAGCTGGAAGCTGAGAACTGGCGACTTTCTAGTACAACTTTAGTACGCGGAGCAATCTGTAGAGCTGGAAGCTGAGAACTGGCGACTTTCTAGTACAACTCTAGTACGCGGAGCAATCTGTAGAGCTGGAAGCTGAGAACTGGCGACTTTCTAGTACAACTTTAGTACGCGGAGCAATCTGTAGAGCTGGAAGCTGAGAACTGGCGACATTGTAGTACAACTTTAATACGCGGAGTATCTGGCAAGCTGGACGATGAGAACTGGCGACTTTGTAGTACAACTTCAGTCCGCGGATCAATCTGTGCAGCTAGAAGCTGAGAACTGGCGACTTCGTAGTACAACTCTAGTACACGGAGTATCTAGCGAGCTGGACGAGGAGAACTGGCGACTTTGTAGGACAACTTTACTACGCGGAGTATCTGTGGAGCTGGATGGTGAGAACTGGCGACTTTCTAGTACAACTTTAGTACGCGGAGCAATCTGTAGAGCTGGAAGCTGAGAACTGGCGACTTTGTAGTACAACTTTAGTACGCGGATGTATGCGGAGTATCTGTGGAGCTGGATGGTGAGAACTGGCGACTTTCTAGTACAACTTTAGTACGCGGAGCAATCTGTAGAGCTGGAAGCTGAGACCTGGCGACTTTGTAGTACAACTTTAGCACGCGGCGTATCTGGCAAGCTGGACGATGAGAACTGGCGACTTTGTAGTACAACTTCAGCACGCGGAGCAATCTGTGCAGCTAGAAGCTGAGGACTGGCGACTTCGTAGTACAACTAGAGTTGTACTGGCGAACAGTGCAGTACGCGGAGGAGTCATCTCTCGCTGCTCATTCATCTCTCGCTGCTGAGTCAGCTCTCGCTATAGCCATCTCTCGCGGCTGAGTCATCTCTCGCGACTGAGTCATCTCTAGCTGCTGAGTCATCTCTCGTGGCGTGCACGTTCAGTTCATACTGATAGTATTTGGTTGCAGTTATGCAGGACAGGACATTCAACCGCTGGTCAAGACACCACTCATCATACACCAGTCAGCATACACCACTCATCATACACCACTCGTCATACACCACTCATCATACACCACTCAACATACACCACTCATCATTCATCACTTGTCATACACCCCTCATCATACAAGACTCATCATACATAGTCTCAGAGTTCAAGACAGATTTTACATTCAAATTCGGATTCCATTCAGTCCGATGTGTGATATGCAAGGTTTGCCGCCACTGAAGAATGCCACGGTGGGATGTGTGTCGATGTGGACCGCATCCTTGGCAAGTCGTGGTGGCCGGATGTGTGTCATCTCTCGCAGGGGGCACACACACCTTACACACGTGGAATCCCGTGGGTCAAAAGTCCGGAGCGCGTGCGTTTGACTGGAGGACGCGCATGTTGGAGAGAACGTGGACACTCCTATAGGTCAATTTCTTCTTATAGGAAACTTCCGCCGCCGGCTTGCCCGGGAACTGCTTGTAGCGAATCGATGAGGCCTGGGTGGCTGCTTGTTTTCAGCGTTTCCAGCCGCTCCTTGACGGCTGCTGGTAAGTAAGGCTCTGCTCACGTCAGCCCGATCTACCAAAAATCAAACCCGAAACGGTCCAAGGAGCTGCTGACATTCCTCCAAAAGAACTGCCAAGTTGTTTTGAGCTTGCAAAGCGCATTGGTTTTCCTGAGCGGGGAAGGCTGTGGTGAAGAACCTTCTGAAAGTCCCCTGCGAACATTAAGGACAAGACCTGGAGGCCAATTTCAACAACAATGCCCTCAATAGTTTGCACAGGAATCCCATCAACCAGCGGGGTGACACATGGCCACTCACTACGTAGTAAATGGCTGGGCCAAGTCAACAAACGACACTCCTTGAAACGAACGGACGCCACAGGTAGAGGAGAGCCAGGCTTCCAGAAGTCCTCCCTCAAGAGGCAGGTGCCCCCAGCAATTTTCCAGATCTCCCTCCAGTATTCCCTTAGCTTTCCTCAGACCAGGTGGCTGGACCATGGGTCTTTTCAAGCTCATCAATGCACAAGCGGTAGAGCTCCATGGCTGCAGTTTTGTGGCCTTTCTCATGCATGGACACTGCAGCACGATGAGCTTCAGCCAGCCATTCCTGGGAGAAGCTACAAAGGCCCATCGGACCACTGGGGGCGAGAAGAATCAAACGCTGTTAAACGCCCGTTTCTTTTCAAGACGGCATGTTTGCAGGTTCTGGACCGGACCTGCCACATGCGGAAGGCCTAAAGACTATAGACTGGGAAACAAGCCATCATTTCGCATCCAGGCTCGCTTTGGCCGGAAGTGATCAGGGCCTTGCCAACGGCCAACTGGGCAGGTAAGCAAATCCACTGATCATCACTGGAGGCGCGCTCCCAAAAACGTGCCATGACCTGGTTCATGTGAACGGACACCGAGGTGTCGTTGCCATGGGCTTGCCACATTTTCCTGAGTCTCCAGACATGTGAAAACTCCTGCACGCCGCAGTCACCACATGGTAAAACCATCCCAGCATCGTGCACCATATGTCTTACCATACAACACTTCTTAGGGTGGTCGCTTGGGATCGTGTGCATGTTCCTCCATTGTGTTCTTGCTGATCTGCCTCCACCCTCGTCACATAACACCTTCTACTGTCTTCGTCATATCCTTCGCTGCCCCAGTGGCACCAAGCCCTGTAGCGCTCCGACTGCCGCCAGCTGATCCAGCCCATTCTCCGACACCGCCATCCGCTCAGCTGCCTTGGCGCAGGAGCGCCCCATCTCCCGGTCGCCTGCATACCTTGGGAGACAAGAAGTGCCTGGAGCGATGGCAAAAACAAACAAAGCATGCGTAGCATGTGATTTCACACAATACTATGTGTTGTTATACATTTATATAGTATACAGTATCCATATAATATCAATATGGACCTGTAGACCACCTAGGCCAGCGGTATTGAACGAACGGCGGGGATTCATCATTTGCGACTGCTGGTGTGGTGAAACTTCAACGTGTATTGTCAGCCCTGGTGCCCGCTAGGTGGTTTGGGTGGTATGTGCATGTATGTGCTCAATGTGTATGGTCATCTGTCGTGGTCTGAGCCATCTTTGTTAAACATCACCCCAACGGAGTGGACATCGCACAAGCATGGGACCCATGCCATGAGCACAGCCCCACCGCGTGCAGTGGTGCGTCAGCTCTCCCGATACCACCGATGTACACGCCAACATGACATCAGTGATGGAATGGTTGCAAACTTAGAGATATGAACTATGATGGTCCCACTGATGTCATATCTTCTACTCTCCTATGGAATAGTTGTCCCACTATGATGGTCACACATACTTATGGGATGGATTGCTTTGGTGGCGTGCTGTGGCGTTTCCCCACACCCTGCCCCTGTTTTTCACTAGTCCCGGGGCGGTCTCTTTTTGTGGGATGTCAAGGATTGGCTTCTTGAGTCTGTCAGGTTCATGGATCTCTCAGTTAGCCAGGCAGTAGTCCGACATGGAAGCCTAGGACTTTTTGTGGCATGGAAGCCACACTGAAAGGATCCACCCGTCACGCCTTCCTCTGAACGCCTCCCTTTCGGGTGGAAGCCCTTTTTCCGATCCCCGGGTCGCGATCGCCACTAGTGTCGGCGAACGCACGACGCTGCACGACGATGAGCGGTTCAGAACGCGTTTTAAGGGTAGGAGCCCAGCCCGCCCGCGCATTTGTGGGGCATCCCCTTGCTGAGCTGCTGCTCCAAGATCGCAAAGAGCTCGCCGGCACGTGACCCATCTCCTGGAGCATCGAATCGGCCAATGACCCGAAGGTTGGGGGGGATGTCTCAAATGACCTGCTTCGATTTAGGCCGACCCTCCAACACTCTTTTGAGATGGAGGCCATCCCCAGGCATAACCGCATAACTATCATATATTATCATGAATCAAACTACTTATCCAGCATAAAGGATCAAAGAAGGCTTTGGGGGGATGCTTGCAAACGCTTTCTGTTTTTAGGTTGCTTATTGCAATGCCAAGGGGCAAGGGCGACAAGAAATTGAAGGGCCGGCTGGCGTGGTTTGACAGGATTATTGCCTGCTAACTAGTTTTGCTACACGATTATTTGGTGTGATTGACCACGCACAAAAAACAGAACATGCAACATGGGTGAACATGGTTGCAAGATAGTTATGAGAATATAACGTGGGGGGCCTTGCACGCCATTTTATAGTTATAAATGGTCTGCTCTCAAGGCTATGATTTGGTATAAAATCACTAGGCATGAGGGTGGCTACAAAAACCTAATTCACGACAAAATCACCATGCCTGACTCAGAAACGTCAGAAATACAACTTGCATCAACTTGCACATCAGCAAA